ATTCCTGGGGACCAGAAGAGACACATAGTAATTAAAGCATTGTGCCCCTGATCTCTCCTATCTCCATACCTCCTCCCCTATCCCTGTCATTATCTCACACACAGACATCACAGTACCATCCCAGTGGTGGTGATAGACTTCGTAACAGAAATTTAGATGGAGCTCTCTTACTAGTGGAAATTAGGGGCCAGGCATGAAGGACATTATGATCATGAAGATAGCTTTGATATCGTTAACTGGAACTGATGAAGTACTGAACATCTCTGTCTAACCTGCTGTCTCTCTGGTACCCCTTATCCCACACCTACTTTGGACTTTAATGAGCTTCAGCCATTTCCAGTTACAGGCTAAGGGGATGCCCTCCCCCACTGCTGTCCCTTCAGTCTCACACGCAGAGAGATGCTAAGTGATGGCCAGCTGCTTCCCTCCTTGGGTGTTCATTTACTGCAGCTGCTAGTTAGAAAAGTTCAAGGGGGTGACTTTTAGTAATTCACGGGGATTCCGTTGATTCTGATTATTTTCACTTTAGGGGTTATATGGGTAGGGGGGTGGGGAGCAGGAATTGCACTCGGACATGACATTTCAGTTCATCTCTGCTAATGAAAAGGGTCCTTCCTGTGGGGGAAATCTGTGTGTCAGTTTCATCAGCTGCAGGTTCTTGTATAATGAAGTTTATGCTGTCAGGCTAAGGAAATAAAATAATTGCATACCTTAAAAACCTACTATGAGTTCAGAAATGTTATTTTTATTTGGTATGTATTAAAACAGATGGCAAGTGGAGTCTCTGAGCAGAAAATTTTGAGCGGGGTGGCTGTTAGAAATGATTGCTCCTTTATGGTCAGACGTATACATGTTTACTGACCAGGAGTTACCATCCGAAGGTGAATGTCGAGGTGGGGCGGTGTGGCCGGTGCCGTGGTGGTGTGTAGGTGATTCTTTCCCTTGCGGATAGATGCTTTGTCACTGCTTTATGTGTTTTTCAAAGCTGAAAGTGGAAGACCGCCTACATCAGAATATAGGGGATGGAAGGGGGGTGGGGTGTGCTTATTAAAAATGCAGATGTCTAGGCCTTGTCCTAGATTTAGCCCACTCATAATCTCAGTGTGGGCGTTCGTATTTTTAACCTGCACCTCGTGATTCTGCACACTGAAGTTGGGGGTGCATTGCTCTGTACCTGGTTGTGCTGTAAGCTCCAGCCAAACCAATTCTCTCTATCACATCTTGGTCAATCTGAGGTTAAAAAAGCAAAAGCACCTAGGTAAGGCTCCTGGAATCTAAACAAGCTTGGTGTCTTCTGGCAGGGACCAATATGTGAGTGGGCAGTTGGAGAGCAAGTTATGAGATAATGAAAAACAGATTAGTTGGAACTCCTTTAAAGAACGTTAAAACCCATTATAACCTTCTAATCTCGCCTCCAAATCTCTTAAGTGGTATCTGCCTTCGTAGAGTTCTATGTAATATATCAGAGTTACCAGAATGGAAGTAGATGGTTATAAGCGATCTATAGCAAGATTCCACCCACCACCAAACCATGCCAGTGCACCGAATGAGAAAGGTAGGTAGGTCAGGATTGAGAGGGCAGGAAGGACCAATCCCAGCACTTACCACTTGAAGAAAATTTAAGAAATCTCTAGGAATTTTGAAGTGGACATCCAAAGCACTGAAAATGCACAACTGTCACTTCAACAGAAAAATATTGGAGTGTTGCTTCTGATAAAGCCAAATTGAAGGTATAATTAAGATATGAACTATATTTTAAAACTAATAGACTTACCCACTATCTAGGAATGAGATTGGATAGATGTTTAAAATAAAACAAACACGTGGCAGATCCCAGTCCTCTATACACATGGGAACCAGTCCCTGTAGTGCTGGGGACTACAGGCCATTATTAAACCAGAGACATACTTTGAATTTAGAGCCTCCATCTCCCTAGGAGACCGTTGCTTATTCAGTCCGACCTATCTAGGTTTTGCTATGGGAAAAAACTTATCTGTCGATGAGACATTACATAATGTTAGACCAGCCCTCTGATTTTATAAATGCATAAAGTTTAAAATAACAGTAAATTCAGAGGCAAAAGCAGATTGGATATTTCAGTGCTCCAATTTGGACATGATGCTCTTTCCTGAACATCAGAATCTTTCCAAACCACTCCTATGTTTCTTGCTTGTCAAGCTTTAAAGCTTCTTGGAACCTTCAGGCCATTGTGGGTCAAGTCTAGGGCTAAAAGCAGTTTAGGAAATATCTTTTCACTAACCTGGGCCCCATGTCCCAGGTGAAATTGACTGACACTCTGATACTTCTTTCTGGGAATCACGCTTGAATGATGTGTCAGATAAGCCCGTTCTTCCCTAGGAAGCTGGTACGATGACAGTGTCAGAGATGAGGGAGTCCTTAGTTGTTACCACGTATTTTTGTTAGATCTCATATATCTATCTACAGAGTGAGCTCACCCCTAGGTTTGCCAAGGATAGTGTTGACTTATGCCTATTGCCCTGACTGGTTTATTCACGGTTCCCCAGTGGACAAAAATACTATATGGTCACTCTCCTTATACTTAGTATAAAATGGAAGCTTATTCCCACTGTCAAGAGAGGCGATGCCTGTGCCACCCAGTTATAGCATTCTCCAGTAGGCCTCTCCCCTGTGTGGGTGGAGATTACAAAAAGAATACCAATCATGAATGGCTGACTGTTTTGCCATTTCTTCCTCTAAGAAGAATTGTTTTCTTCCTCTAAGAAGAATTGTTTTCTTCCTATAAACATGGTGCATTTTAAAAAGTTTATAGACTGTATCGTGAAATCAGAGGTTAAGATCGCAAAAGAACAAAACAAATGGTGGTTAACTGAAGAGTAGTGGTAACTAGGCAGACACGTGCCCTGCCTGGCACAAGTCCAGGGGCCACCGTGCCATCGTCCGGTGTGAATGGTGCTCCCCTGCGTGTACACAGGCCTCTGGCTGTTGCAGTGCCCCCTTGGGTACAATAGTGTCCGTTACTGCCATTTGCTGTGGAAACGTTAGGCTTAGTAAGCACATAATTCTACACTGTATTTGTGTCATTAACCACCAAGTATATAATAGGTATGGTATAATTTTTAGATTGTGTGTGTGGGCGAGGCATGTATACACTTGCCCATGGATACAGCACTAAGTTATTTCTGGAAAATAAACTAGCTGAGAAATGAATTTCATCTAGTTTTTACTCTTATGTAAAACTTGTAATCAACTATTCCTAGCTGTGTGGGTTTTTTTTGTTTTTTTGGTTTTTTTTAGCTATATTTCTACTCTGAGAGATTTGAACAGGCTCCAAGCATTCTTCTTCATTTTGTTTTGTTTTTGCTGCACGAGGCCACCAATTATTTTCAGAAACTGGCCCGTTTTCACTCAGTGGTTCAGCTTGTCACTTCAGTGCAGCCCGAGAGCTGTGGCCCGCTGCCCAGCTCCCCGCCCATCGCTTTGTTTACGTAGCTGTTACAGCGCTAGGGCTGCAGTTTGGTCAACTCAGCCTGTGGCACATTATCCTGTGGGTGACTCAGGGCTGCAGAGCTTGTTTTTCTCAGCTATTAATGCATGCTTGTAAAAAACAAACAAACAAAACCCAACAAACCCCCAAACCAAAAACACACAACAGGCATTAGAGTCCCTGTATAAAAAGCTGTGAGAGCCTGTGGTAATGTCAGCCTAATTGCCCTTTTGGATCATAAGACCACTTAAAATTTTTTTTTTTTTTTTAGTCTTGCAGTTATGGATGGGTACTTTGTAAATCTATACAACCAGATTATTTTCAACATATAAACTAACGAAGTAGTCAAATGACATTTCAACATGCCATTGTGCAGGTGCGCATATATTTCAACAGTGACTAACAAAAGACTTAAGTCATTCTGGTGTGTATTCAACATTGTGGACCATCTGTCTTGACAGTTCTGCTTTAACCCTGGCAGTGTATTTATTCAGATTCCTGTGACTTCTGATTAGAGGTGTTAAGCACTTAAAACTTGCATAAAGGGATCCTGAGCTATTGGGCTGGGAGGGGCGGGGCTTTGAAACACGTTTTCTATTTTTACATTTCTAGTAGTCTCAACATCGCTCACATCATTGAACAAAAGCGTGATGATTTCTCATTGGTTGGTGTTCAAAGAATAACAGAAACAAACCATATTTTAGATGCTCACATTGGCTAACTGCCTGCCTCCTTCAAGTCTTGGCTCAGCTGTCATCTCAGGCCCACCCCACGCATCCTCTTAGATATTTCAATAGCTCCCTCATGTGCAGCCCTCCCTCTCATTTCTACCTCGCTCTGCTTTGTCCTTGCTTACCACCGATCACCTAACGTCTTAGGTTTATTGTCTGTCTTCTCTCACTAGATCTATAAGCTCCACAAAGGCAGAAACTTTTTGTTCTGTTCAGATTTACACAAACTGGTCACAACAGTGCTTGACATATAGCTGATGCTCAAAAGAAAGAATAGCTTCTGATGGGAGTGAAAATTTCAATTCGGAGACTTGGTAAGAACTTTAGTTAAGAACTAAATTTCCATGAAAGCACAAGTTACAAAAGGGCCATTCAAAGAACTTTGGGAAGCCCTTGGGGCTTACTAGAAAGAAGATCTGGAGGCAGGGAACAGGGCTTGAATCCCAGCTCTGCCACTCAGCTAGCTCTGTGACTTCCGCCAATTTATTTTTTGTATCAGTGAAATTCTGAGTTCCCTTCCTGTCGGATATAATTACATCACAGGATGATGTGAATATTAAATAAATCCTTTGCCAAACCACTGATACTAAAATGGCAATAGTTTAGGCTAGCTGGTAGGGGTGATCTTAGTTTTCATTTTTTTCATTCATTGGTAATATTACAGGACTTTGATTGGCAAATACAGAATAGGGCGTGAGCTGGGGGAAATGTTGAGCTGGATATCTGCAAAGACAGTTCACGGACTTGATCG